ATCTTGATTTAGTGGACCCATCTTAAAGTAACAAGAAGCAGCTTACATCCAAGTGATCCTGGCTTCTTTATATCTATTTATTTATTGGAGGTATTTACTGTTTATTTTGCTGACAATTTATGCACCCCTTTTACATACTGCACATTCACATCAGTCCCTACCCTCGAGGAACTTGCAATCTCAGGTCCCATCTCACTTACAAGGCTGATTTAGATAGGAGCCAATTAACCTACCAGCATGTTTTTGGAGTGTGGGAGGTACCCAGAGGTAACCCACACAAGCACAGGGAGAAAATGCAAACTCTGTGTATATAGTATCCTCACTGCGATTGGAACTGGGGATCCCAGTGCTGCAACGCAGAAGTGCTAACAACTAAGCCACTGTGCTGCCCATCGGAAGCCTGTATGCCACTGTGCTGCCCATCGGAAGCCTGTATGCCACTGTGCTGCCCATCGGAAGTCAAAACGATATGCTTCTGTACATAGAATGTATGCACACTTAAAATTGGTGAGATCTTATTTCATTTTAGATGCTTATAAAAACCAACTAATTAGTAGTAATAAGTAGCTTGAAGTACTAAGCACTTTTCTGCGACTAATACTTGGTGATCATAATTGCCAACCATTAAAGTTATATAAAACATGCAAGTTTTAGAAACATTGCCGCAACACCTAGTTTATGTTCTGACCAAGCTGCAGTGGATGTAAATGATAATAGAAGATGTCAAGCCCTGAAAAGTTTTTAAAGGTCGTGAGTTGTGGGAGGCATTTTGGAGAAACTGTGAAGATGAATGTCAATGACAATGGCAACGCCAGGCAGGCAAATTACATATGATGTTTTCTGTCATAATAGACCCTTTCCTTCAAGGTATGCCCTGTCGGATTTAGCCCTTTAACTGTGAAGGAGTTAATTCAGCTGTCTTAACTCGCTACCACTTACTTCTTAAGCTTGTGCCAGTATGCTGCCCCGTAAAGCTTTCACAAGGAAATAATGTGCGATATGTACGTTTTAAAGGGCAATAATTATTTTCAGGATCCATGTCAGAAAAATGTTCATTTTGTTCATGAACTGTGTGGGTCTGTCTGCTGCATAGAAATCAGATTAAGCCAGCCAGCAGCGACTCAATGGGAGTCCTACCCCCACTTTCACAAGTTCATAATCCCCTCGTCTATTACTTTCACAGGTTCCATCCCTGCACATTATGTTGTCACTTTTCTCTTTGTAGAGGCAGTTTATAGCAAAAGGTTGATATAGTAAATGTAATATTAAATAAAAAGTTAAACTCATAACAAGTAGAAATTATAGGAGGACTTTAATCCTTTACATGTCACTAAGCAAAGTGAATGTTATATAGGCAACTAAGTATTATGCAACAGGCTATTCAAAATAGATATTGACTTATTACGTAACGTAAAAGTAATGTGCAAGGCACCATAAGCCACAGCAACCAATCAGTATTAATTTGCCATTGGCCTGAAAATCTGATTGGTTGCTCTGTCTTTTGCTTGCTAAGCCAGAATTTAGTATTTGAATAATACGTTACATACAACTGTGTTGCTTGACAGTCTGATAGTTTTCTCCTCAGTAAATGTACATACAACTGTGTTGCTTGACAGTCTGATAGTTTTCCCCTCAGTAAATGGTTCTTAAAGTGCCCATACACTGTACGATTATCGTGGGAAATCCCGCGATTGTATGATAATCGCAAAGTGTATGGAAGGCGTGCGACCGTTTCTACTGTACGGTCGCACGTCTTCCGTCGAACAAGCATGCTTGAAAACCCGCCGAGAATCGTACGATTCTCGGCGGGTTAGTGGCCTGCTTGTTCGACACCTGCCGAACGGGCCGGTGTACGCATGCGCACACTGCCCGTTTGCAGTCATCGGAAGCCCGCCCCTCATTGCAGTCATCGCAAGCAGACCCCTCAGGAAAAACAGAGATGGAGAAGGATCTTGGGTTCCTTATAGACCAGACTCAGTAATAGCATGCACTACCAAGTTGCAGCTAATAAAGCCAGAAGTATATTATCTTGTTTTAAAAGACGGATTTATTCAAGGGATAGAAATATAATTTTGCCACTTTACAAAAGTGGTAAGGCCCCATCTTGAGTGCGCAGTTCAATTGTGGTCAACAATCCTTAGACAGGATGTCCGTGAACTGAAAAAGTTCAGAGAGGGCAAATTAAGAAGGGGGATGGAGGGTCTGAGTTATCAAGAACACCAACAAAATTAGAATTGTTCTTCTTAAAGAAGAGACCCTTAAGAGGTGCCATGATCGCAGTTTACAAACTCATCAATGGGTACAGCAGTATTGTGAATACACTATTTATGTGAGGGCACAGCAAGGAGTTGGAGGGGATGGGGTATAATCCTAAACTATGTAAAGGGTATGTTATTTGAGAGTGGTAAAAATGTGGAATTCACTTTCACAGATAGTTGTATTAGTGGGAAACATAAACTGCTTCAAAAAACACTTGGATGAGTTCCTCAGTTCACAAAACATACAGGGTTATACGAATTCGTAGCATTATACACCCACACACACATACATGCTCACACCCACACACTATATATTATTATTATACAGGATTTATATAGCACCAACTTTGCACAGAGCTTTACATTATAAGGAAGACAATACAATCACAATTCAAGACAAGATGGTAAGGAGGGCCCTGCCCATGAAGGCTTACAATCTATATAGGTTAAACCTGATGGACCTGTGTCTTTACTCAACCTTGCCTAATATGTAACCATGTGTTTCATATTGGCTTAAAAAAAACTGCCAATGTTTACAGCCACAAGATACCATCGGAGGTTCCGTTAAAGAGAATCCTTCACTTTCTGTCGGTAAAAAGGCTGTCCCTAGGACAGGAAGTGAGGGGAGATCTCTCTAATAGTAACAAGGAAAGAAGTACATTTTTGTTTTTTTAATTTAAAGCAGAACCAGACCAACCAATCTAATGGTCTTCCAAAACAGTTACTTTCAAAGCATTACATCTGTCAAGGTTGCCAGTGTGCTTATTTCAGCTCTCATCTGACCTTTCAAGCCCTCAAATGGCTAGTGGCATAGCTGATCACATGAGCATCACCATGGAAACTGCAATCCAAATAGAGGCTAAGATGGCACCTTCCTTGGTTGTAAAGGATAAGAGATTGTAGTTCCACTTTAAGTAAGGGTATGCTTAAACCCCTGCCAGCTTTTTATTGTCTCTTTCGCTGGATGTTCCCTACTGGTAAAATGCCTGATGATTCCTCTCAATATCCTCTGTATACCTTTCCTTCTACTGTTCTGTGGCTAAATTTAGCCACAAATGTGCACAGGTAGACAAAATAATTTAGTGTTATAATTTTCATGTTTTGAGAATGGGCGATGAGGTAATCCACCTTCCAAACTCAGAATTAGAACTGCTGTAACACTGTGCACTACATCAACAGAACACTAAGAAGACCTATTAACGGTGCGTTCTTCAGTCCCTGAGGACAGTTGTTGGAAAGCTTCATCAACCAAAAGGTTGCCCTATAGAATTTTTTACATAAACTTTGGTACAGATTTACTTGCAAGGTATTTTATCTTAATGAATTTGATAGAGAAGTATTATTAATTTAACGGCATGCTGCTCTTTTTAACCAGATTGTAAAATATTAATCATGCCACAAATGAATAGCGAGACGAAAAACATTGTTTTTCAGACATGACCCCAGAACTTTTTTTTTTCCCTTGTGATAAGTTGTCAGAGCACATTATGTCAACAGGAGCATTTCAGACGTAAATCCCATTGCTTCCAAAGCAGGCTCACACAACTTTTATGCTCATTGAAACTGACTGTTAACTGATTTGATGTTTTTGGATGAAGTAAACTTTTACCTGTGAAAAGCCAACGCAGATATAGATTGTTAAAACAACCTATACAAAAAAAATGCTACATCTAGAGCATCTCTAAGCCCTCGTTCACACCTGAACGTTTTGTAGCGCGTTCTACGCTCGACAAACGCTCTACAAAACGCTCAAACATCTAAATCCCATTGTATTCAATGGGTCTGGTTCACACCTTGGCATATTTCAGCCCATCCCTAATGCGCTACAAAACGGCCCACGCCTGAAAAGGTACATGTACTACTTTGGGCCGTTTTTGTTGCGCGTTTCCATTGGGATACAGCCAAGTAGCCCTCGGAAACGCGCGTTTGTCGCCCAATTTTTTTACTGCGAATCGCTGTAAAAAAAAACGCGCGACAGACGCGCATATGCAATACGCTAGGTGTGAACCAGGACTTAAAGCTAGTCTGTTTGTTATGCTGATTCAAAGGCTGATTCTTAAAGCACTCAGTGGTTCCTCCCTGTGACTACTATGTCACTACAGGACATGGTAGAGACATGGAGGATGGCAGGAGGTAACATTGCATGCTGCCTGGGACTCAGAAGATTGACACTCCTGGAAGTGTCAGTTTCCGCACAGATTTCGACTGTGCGGGAAGCAGAAGAGGTACTTTTTCTTTTTCTTCTTTACAGAGGCAGTTTTTATTTGGGCTTTCTGATTGCTTGAAAGGGTCACTTCAAGTCTGTTGAACTTATAACAGGGCTTATAACAAGCTAGATGTATGTTGAGATATTTGACAGTGCACTTAAAGAGGAACTGAACTGTAAAAAGGCAGGCAGAGGGCAAAGGACTAGTCATCATTATTACTTGTGGTCTCCCTGCAACTGATTGTTTTCCTTTACTGACTTACAATGCCTGCATAATAAATGGTTTTTAGAGGATGAGAACATTTTTTCTTATACATTAAACATTTTCTTCTTCACTTGTCACCTCTAATTGCATGTATTGCTGTGTCTTCACGTCCCATGAATCAGACCTTTATAGAGTAAAGTAGAGAATTGTATGAGATAATGTTGAATACTGTTGGGATGCTAAGACAAAGCTGTATCTTGCAGGGTCTTCTGAAGTGTGATATGAACTGTTTATGTGCACAGTTTGCTCATGTCTTGCTTTTACTCTACAGGCTGACCAATTTTCTGGCTTTCATATCAGATCTGTGCTATGTGTGCCAATATGGAATAGCAACCATCAGATAATAGGTAAGCTATATAAGATACCATAGAATAGACCCCCAATTTCATGTTTTGTGTGCATTGCCATCTTGTGCTTTTGTAAATTTTGGATTTGTTTAAAACATGCTTTAATGTGTATTTTTAAGAGTATTTTTTTTTTACCACAGTGTTATCATGTGATTAAAACTGTATTACTAGACATACTGTATGTAGGCACCCAGTGCTGGTGTCTCCATTTGAAAATGCTCCTTGCCTGATTGACTTGCTTATTCAAGCATTGATCTGCATGACAGCGAAGCGACTAGCATTTTTAGGTCAGAAGTCACAGCTTATGCATTTATCTCCACACCGGTTTTCTGAAAATGCATGATAAATGTAATTATTTTGTGCTTATAGTCATTTTAATGGGCCCTATTCATGCACCATCGGAAGCTTAGGATTCTACATTCACATAGAGACCTAATGCCCATCCGGTGTTGATATTCCTTCTGCATGAGAATGGGTGGACAACTCCAGCAAAATAGCATCTATTACATTAGTTCATATTATTCTTTATTCTAAGAATTTAGGCAAATAAACATTTTACTGACTGACTACTGATCTTTCACCCAAAAGCAATAATTTAGCCAGGATACTTTGGTGGGTGACTTGAATAACGTTAGAGAGAGACTTACAGATGCACTGAGTAGGTGACATAAATACTTGTGCCTCCCTTATCTATGCAGCAATTTATATATTCCAAACAAGTAGTTTTCGTTTTATACTTTTGTACTGTTTAAAAACAACTCTCCTCAATGCAGCATGCAGGTCTCGATTTGAGTGCTCTGCTTGACAGCACACAAATGTGAAGAGGGCCCTTTGATATTAATGTGATTTGGGATGTCCTGTGCTTTCCATGCATTTTAATCAATCTTTAAAGCACGTACATATGAACTCTGCTTTGACCTTTTTATATCAGTTGCATCTTGATTAATCTTCTCACAATGCATGTATCCAGAAGAGAGAGATTAGCTCTTCTCAAATTTAAAAAATGATGGGCATTGGGCTGTTCTAAAAAAGGGGACACATGAAACAAGGGGTAGGTTATGTGCAAATGTTGGTAAGTTAACACTCCATGCCTAAAGCCCTATTGAACTTTCAGTTTTCCAGGAGTATAAACATTCCAAGATTATAAAAAAAAAAGGTGTGCAGTTTTCTCTAGGGCCCGTTCACACCCGATGTGTTGGGCGTATTTGCCCAAAACAGTCCCAACGCATTGGGCAATTTGTAATGTCTTATCATGACAGATCACACCATTGCACTGCAGTGTTGTGTGCCTGAAAAACAAGTAGGACATGCAGTACTTTGTTTGCAATGTAGCGTGTTGTGACACACTACAGTATATTGCATTGCACTGTGGTTAGGGTTGCACAGATACCAAGTACAGTACTCGGTACAAGTACGAGTACATGTACCAATACTTTTGAGCTCCAAGACTATACTAGAGAAAAATTAAAAAATTAGGAGGCAGCTGTCATTTGTAAGGAGCACACGGAGCTCCTGGGATTTGTACATCTCTGTTTCAATGTATGATTTTGTTTTTATAAATATAAATAAAGGGATGCACAGATACCAGTTTTGCGAGTACGAGTACTGGTACTTGCCGAGTACTTACAAGTACGAGTACTGATACATTTTTGTTTATTGTCATGTGACAGTTTTTCTAAAACAATACAGACTAATGATTTCAGGACAGTGTTGGAGTGCCAGAGCCATGTCCCATCTGCAACCGCTGCAACCCTGGTAGTTCTCATGAAAATGCCAAGTATCTGCACTGGTACTCGAAAAGTATCTGTGCATCCCTAACTGTGGTGAAGAGAAATGAATGACAGGACATTTCAATGAAGTTACATAAAAAGATAAACAGTTTGATGCGTCCTAATCAGTGCATTGCACCGCTTCCCTCACAGCGCACACCAACGGCCATGTGGTAGTTTGCACTGCTGGTGTGAACTGGCAATTGAAAAGCAGCCACAGGCTAAGTAGGAAAGCTTATCCTCAGCCAGCATGCTGCAGAGCGGGTCACTTGCTTTGTCTAGGGAAGCAGTGATCTCTTTCCAGAGGTCCAACATGTCCCCTGCTGAGTTAGAGCCAGATCGATCCAATCAGCGGGAAGCAAGCGCATTTCTGATTGCAGTAAACTAGGTCTAACTCAAGGGGATGCTTCGGACCTCTTCAGTGAAACCACTGGATCCCCAGAGAGCAAGTGTCCCACTCTGCAGTTGCTAACAGGGGGCTTTTTTACTCAGAATTTAGCAATTTTAGAAAGAAAATACATTTTAAGACTTTTCACACCTTTTGTTTTGATATACCTGGCATGTATTTAGCTGATTTAAACTGAATGTTCAATTGGGGTTTACGGGAACAGGTACAGGGATCCTTCAGTGTCCTCACCAAGTCACCATGGACCATGTGAAAGTAGAAAAATCAGACATTCATAGGATAATTTTAAATAAAATAAAAAAATAAAAAAATAAAGACATGTAATGATTAACAGAAAGCCATTGTAACTGCTTACCAGAATTTTACTGCTGCATGTTGTTATATATTTTAGGTGTGGCACAAGTATTGAATAGACTAGACGGAAAGCCGTTTGATGATGCAGATCAAAGACTGTTCGAGGTAAGAAAAACTGTCATGTCAAGCAAAATTGTCTTATTCCATACTGTCCTAGAACACAAAATGTAATTACAAATGGAACTTCAGCCAAAAATGTTTGGGATAGAGGGGGAGAGGTTTAGAACTTACTTCTGGTTTTTATTGCTGTGTTCATATTAGGGCTATTCCCTCTCACTTCCCGCCCCCTTGACTCCACAGGAACTGAGAAACAAATCTCCTTAATGGGAACACCAGGAACAGTATACCTGACATAGACTCTAACTCTAAAAAATGTTGCATTTATTGCAGTTTCAGCTGGACTTACACTTAAGGGCCCATGCACACAATTGTACTTCGGTCTGCATACTTCTAGACCAGCGTCTTAAAAAACGTAGAAGCCCTAAATAACCATGATGGTCAGGCAACCAGCAGTTTGAGAAGGAGAGGTCAGAGATCACAGCCTCCATATCTCTCAGTACATGTATACGTAAAAGTATCCCATTAACTCTTATTGATTTGAAGCTGAACAAGACAGTAGTATTGGAAGGAAGGGGGTGGGGAGTGAGGGGGTAATGATCTCAGGATACTTGCAGTTACATAAGCAGCTGGTGAGTGTTCTTCCATTACTAAACATAAGGGATTAGGTAGGCTTAGCCTTTAACTTACAGTTTAATAGACCTATCCAAAAATTGAGTGAGCTTTGGACTTTATTGTATTCTTGACCTTTCTTTTATCGTTTTAGGCTTTTGTTATATTTTGTGGCCTTGGTATTAACAACACGATTATGTATGACCAAGTAAAGAAATCATGGGCAAAGCAGTCAGTCGCTTTGGATGTAAGTATATAAAATATAATGTAAAATATATTTTACAAACCAAAAGAGGCAGACTGCACGACAAACTTTCTTTCTACAGCAAAACATTTATTGTTCCAAGAGCACAAATATCCTGCCGGACTCAGGGTCCTTCAAGGTCCAACATGTTTTGCCCTGGTATAGGGCTTATTCATACAGGCATCTACGAGTAAGCCCTATACCAGGGCAAAACTCGTCACGAGGAGTCTGTGTCTGATGGGACATTGGTGCATTTAGAACAATAAAGTTTTACTGAAGAAATTAAGTTGTTGTAGTGTGGCCTGAATTTTTCGTTTTGTGTTTCCCAGGAATTAAACATGTTTTTTTTAATAATGAAAAACAAGAAACTCAATGCTATATGACAAAATGTATATCTTTGAAGAAGTTTGGTCCCCTCGGATCATGATTAATTTGCAGAAAGCAGCCCAGAAGAAACAGTTGAATCCCCATGGAGACTTTCTTCTTCTCTGTAAGCTTGTTCCCATTTTTTCTTCTTTATTCTTTTCCTTTGACCCTCTATATTTTACATTCCCCATGCCATGGCAGTTAAATTAAGTCATAGTTACCCTTCTGGGAATAAGCTTATTGGATATTGAAACTGTGGTTGACTTGTTAGTCCTCATCTGCTTTATGTGGAATAGTATCCTGCTACACCAAAACTGTATTGGTGGTTCTTTACTGTCTATATTAGTTAAAAAAAACATTAAAAAGACAGTTTATTAATAAATAATACATTGTTTCCCACGAAAATGCACAAATACATTTTAGGACCTCCCTTATAAAAACATTCACCTATATTAGGACTGCTTTTATGATTGTTTTTATATGGAGGATTTGAGGATGTGTGTGTTTTTGTAGAGAAACAATTGGCTATATTTTTACAAACGTTTACCTTAAAGGAGAACTATGAGGTGAGTGCTTTTCACTCACCTCATAGTTCTAGCCGACCTGTGACAAAGAGACTGTCACAGGTCGGCTCAGTAGATCGGGAGGTGAGCGAACACATACCGGGTTCGCTCGCCTCTCGATCCTGTCACGGCTCTCTGCCGTGACAGGGGGAGGGGCTGGATTCCCCGCTTCGATCTGCCAGCACTGACCCCATAGTTCTCCTTTAATATGGCTGATACATTCCATATATATACACTATGTTTAAAAAAAAAAAAGAATAAGTGCACTTTTACACAAATTGTGTTAATCCTTTCTTGCCTTCTTCCAAATTCACCCACCCTCCTCAGGCCCAGATGTACTTACCTGCATCCCACATCTCACCACAATGTTTTCAGTCTCCAGCCAAAATCTTCTTTGGCCACCTGTGCAGTAATCCCCATGTATAACTATGGAGTCATAGAAAGTGTACTTATACTATTAAAGTGAATGTCCAGACATTACCCAATTTACTCCCTCCCCTAGCATTGTATACCTTGCTCTTGTAGCAAGAAGCAGCTTTTATTACTCCCTGTGACTTCATCACCAGACTTGTAAAAGTTTGGAGGGGCAGCTGCTAGGAGGTCAGTTCCTATTGATGTATGCACGCCTCCAGAACTACACTAATGAGGTTCGAAATGTTATAACACATTACGTTAAGCCTTGCTCTGCTTGATTGACAGAGGATGCTACAACGGTGACAGCAAAACAACAGTTTGCTATTAATGTGAAGACTGAAATTGGCATACTATAATGACTTCCATTGAGGAATAAAGAAAATTTGACCAGCAGGGAAAGTTTACTTAGACCATTTGATTTTGTCCCATTCTCACAACAGACTGGTTAATTTGCGATTAGCAAATGTGCGTGCAGTTTCGCTGTAGAAATAGCTATGATTTTTTTTTTTTTATAAATAGCCCCCTTTGTGGGTGGACAGGCACTTAAGACTCAAGGTAGCAGCATTGTTTTAATAGAAACAAAATTAATGTAGTTCTGTCATCTGGGAGGCAGGGTTGATAACACTGGTTGGGATTTTAGTGCAGAAAATGCACTGTGTTGTCAAGGGATAAAGCATGGGGAAATGTGCATGTATTGGAGTGATGTCATGAATAGTTTTTATTTTTTTGCTTTTTGTTTTGCTCTGACATACACTTATGTAACACTTGCCCAAATATACTGTATAGCCTTTTGCTACACACTATTTATTGCCTTGGTTTGTATAGCCAAAACATTTTTGTTAGTTTTGTGTTGAGTAGGCAAGGATTAAAATCCCTGTCAGGTTATTTTTTGCTGCCTGTGTACCATTGAGGATATTTCCCATCACTTCCTGTCTCAGAAATGCAACAGGAAATTAAAAATAGTCTCCCAAAGTGAGGGGAATTCCCATCTTAGACAGTTGACAGTTGCTCTCACTTCTTGTTCTGGGGCCAACTCTAAAATCTTGGATTTCCCCTAAATTTCTTTCCAAGTGACAATGGTTACCAGTACAAATAGAGGGATGAATGTCCTCAATGGAGACACAGTCAGCAATAAAAACGCGACAGAGGGTCTATAAAAAGGTTTTGCTTAGAGGTAAAACTTAAGTTTATTTTTTAGTTTACTTGACTTTTTTTTAATGCACCCCAGGACCATAACTTACCTGCAATGAAGTGTGTCTCATGCCCGGTTGGTTGCTACTTATTGTAGAAATCCTCCCACGAGGCTATCTTCCTCTTCTCAGTTCCCTCAAGGATTTACTATTATTTCCCATAATGCAAAGCAACCTATGATTGGAGGAGGCAATTCCTGTCATTCATCCACCTGTCCTCCAATCACATGTCGCTTTGCATTGTCGCAAATACCAGTACAATTTTTTATGAATGGAGGAGAGAGGAGGAAAGGGCAGGTGGGTAGCCCGACTTTTGCAGAATCTTTCTCACAGCTCCTGTTAACCGCCACACCAGGGGAAGATCAGTGATGTAAGGGGATATCTGGTGACACTAGTGGGAGGATTTCCAGTTTAAGTTAAGTTCATACCATATTGGAGGTAAGTTATGTCCCTGGGGCTGCATAACAAAAATAAAACTTATACTTCAGTTTTACCAGATCACTGTGCTTAGTTGTTAGTATTTATTACTTGTACGAGGCATAAAAAACCCATTGGAAAAGCGATTATTACTTAGGCACGAAAACACCTACTAACTTCTAGCCATGCAAGGACCAATTTGCATCTTATGTGTCACCAACATAAGGAGCGGGGAGAGGCAAGGAAAGCAGTATTTAGATAACACTGCTTTGCTGATTACTGACAAATGTCTGTAATTTCAACTGACAAACTGCTAAACATATGTAACTCTAATTTAGGAATTTGTTAAAATGTATTTCAAGTTAGGTTGTTATCATTGAGAATGTACAAGATATGCTGTCATTACAGTGTGTGGATAAATAAACAGAACCATGTATAACCTATTAGCCATATTACTAAAAGCAAAGATCATTTCCCAGAAGAGTGGCCACCACTTCAAGCTCGCTCCCATGATGGACTGCAATCTCACGTTTAGTTTACTCATTTGTATTAAAGTTATAGTCTATACGGGAACGAGCTTGGAGAGGTGGGTACTTTACAACACACACAAGGACCATGGGGAACAAAAGAAGCCACCCTCCAGAAGGAAAAACAGTGTCACCATGTGTTCAGAGATGATTTGAGGATTTACAGCCGAGTGATACACAAATAAAATACATTTTTGTTAATAGTTAAGGTACTTGAATGCATTTTTAAGATTTAACTCCTGATTTTAGTGCCACTTTGCTATTGTTCATTACCTGTGTAGCGAAATTAATCGATTAAAAAAAATTTCGATTAATCGAACAGGAATGTTTTAATTATTACCAGCCCTAATTTATTTCCATACACAATCTTTGGTCTTCTGCATGGACTTCTAACTATATAAATCCTTCTATCACAAGACTCTACTGGCTGGAATACATCTCAATATGAATGGCTCCTTGTAGAACTGAGGTTCCTGTGTATGCTCAGTCTTTAAATGAAGGCAGGATAGCATTGGGAAGGTTCCTGTGGTGCTTCTCAGCTCAGTCAGTCACTCACCATCCCTGTGGGGGAAAACTGCAACTTTGCCTCCTTCACTGCCTAGTAGCACTCAATTACATAGCCAGTATCTTAGGAACACCAGCCATGACAGCAGATCCCTAAACCTTCCCATACCCCTAGGCCTTCAGGCCTGGGGCCTAAATTTGTGGATCGCAGATGCATCCTTTCAGGGTAAAAACTCTGGAGTGAAGCCACTGTACCAAGACGTGCCTTAGATATGCAATAGCTCTCCTAGCAGACTCCCCAGAACTACTGATTGGCCAGGTATTAAACATCCTTAATGTGAAGCATTATCTCTAGCACGCTCTGCTGGTGAACACTCAGCACAGCAGGTGACTGAGAATAATCACTGCACACTTACAGGGTTATTCACAAAAGGGTGTAGAGTTTGTAGAAGGCAGGAGAATGAACAATCTAGGACAACATAGCTGATTTGGAAACATTCTCCAATTCATCTCACTTTGCAGTTCAGCTATGTTGTTCTAAATTGTTCACTTCTCCTGCCTTCTCCAAACTCTTCACCCTTTTGTGAATAACCCTGTCAGAGTACACTAGCCAGCACAGCTAAGCTGACTACACTGACAAATCACAACAATAGACAAAAAGAATTTAGGGAAACACTTCATCCCTACACTTGCATTACTGCCTCTCTAATTTATACAAACATCCATCAATGATCTCTCAGTGGGGTTGATTTACTAAAGGCAAATGGGCTGTAAAAATTAATTTTGCAAAGAATACCCAATAGCTTGTAGGGAAATAAAAAAATAAAAAAAACAGTATTTTTTCTTGCACATGATTGGATAATGAAAGTCAACAGAGCTTTCTTTCATTCAAAGGGAAAATTCCCTTGCAAAGTGAACAGCCTATTTGCCTTTAGTAAATACACCCCATTGTCTCTTACTGAAGTAAGTCTTTTCAGCAGTCAATATTGTGGCATTTCTTTAAAGAAACTCTTCAATGTTTGAATGAGTCAGTTTATTGTGATACGGCTGGTGAAGACATACGATGGATGTCAATATTCTTTAAAGTACGGTGCTTTAGAACACAATTTCCTGTGAGATATACAACATCTTTTCATTATGGCCTATTTAAAACCTTGGCAGCAACCTTGGCAGCACAATTTCTATAGACTGTTGTCTACAATAGGAAGCATATTCAGTGCCTACAAAATTATTGACTCACATTCAGAAGCATACAATGTGAGGAGTAATACTCTTGCCTGATAAGAAATTATCACACGATCACAAAGTATTAGTGGCAGGAGAGTGCATAGTACTTTAGGCTTAGAGGGATATGGCTCTTCAGCTACCCAACAGTTAAATTACAAATGTCCCAGACCCACTTGCTTGGCGATAGAAATCCCAGGTGCATTCATCTCAGGATGAGGTTCATGTCCTCAGAATTTTGGGAATGATGGTCGACAATTCACTGTTTTAGGTTTAAAGAAGATTTATTGCATGAAGATGATAGGAAGGGGGGTGGAGGGAGCACAGAATACCTGAATGTTCACCTTGGTTTTATGCATGTCTTCTAAACTTTCTGGGTCCCTTTCTCACAGTGACACCTTAACAACCATGTTGAAGTGTTTCCTCTCAAATTTCAAGGCAGGATCACAATGGAAAGGTTCCTCTGGTGCTTTCCAACTCAGTCCATCACTCACTACCTCTATGTGGGATACAACTGCAGTTCGGCTTCCTCTAGGCCTTGCAGAACTCCATGGGAGCCAGTGATTTGTGAGGGAGGCCCCCCAAGAGGGGAGATCCCTGAAACTTCCCACACCCTTAGGCTTAAGGATAAGACAGGTGGCCATAGATTCAGGATAAAACCCTGAAAGGAAGACCCCATGCCAGAAAATGCCTCAGATATTTATTGACGCTCACAGCATGCACAGAAGCCCCCCCAGGCCTGCCGATTGGCTAGGTATTAAATATCCTTAAAGGAGAACTATGAGATGAGTGATTTCCACTCACCTCATAGTTCTAAGCCGACCTGTGACAATAAGACTGTCACAGGTCGGCTCAGTAGATCGGGAGGTGAGGGAACACATACTGGGTTCCCTCACCTCTCGATCCTATCACGGCTCTCTGCCGTGACAGGGGGAGGGGTTGGATTCCCCTCTCCCCGCTCCGATCTGCCAGCGCTGACTGGCGGAACGGACAGGGGAGGGGGCAGGTACAGCTGGCTCTGCCTCTAGGTAGGCAGAGCCAGCTGTCACTCACGCAGCTGGGCGGATCCCGTCATCTAAGTCGGGATCCGCTCCAGGTGCGGCGTCTCAGTATACCGCGAGCTGTAGCTCGCGGTATACTGAGCTTAGGGTAACGGGAGGACACTAGTTTGTGTCCTCCCGTTACCCTAAGGAGAACTATGGGGAAAAACACTGACCCCATAGTTCTCCTTTAACATAGAATGTTATCTCTAGAACACCCTGCTGGAGCAAGCCCAACACAGCCTGTGACTGAGTTAATAATTCCATGCTTAGAGTACAGTAGCCAGCACACAGCTAAGCTGACTGAAATTCATTACAAGATCACACCATTGCAAAAAAAGAATTTAGAAAAACACTACATCCCCATAGTTGCATTCCACCTTACTGACCAGTAACTGAGCTCCCAGCAGCTGCTCCTGCAAGAAGTTTACAATTCCGGTGATGATCTAACAGGGATTAATAAAAGCTATTTCTCATTACAGGAAGAATGTAAAGAAATAGATCAATGCTGGAGCATGCTGTAGATGGGGAGAAGGATGTTTGAGAGTAAATTTGGGCAATGGCTGGGCATGCACTTTAGTAGAGGGTTTTTAGTTCCTTTTGGCACACATCACCATAAACTTAATGATATAGAATGATTACTCTTTCTCTGCCCATCTAATGCCGCATTATAGTTAGCATTTTATGCCCTGGGCAACAGCCAAAATGGCACTGAATTCCTATTTCTAACTGGATTTTTTAAAGCAGGCACAGTGAAAAGGAAGCAATTATCTGGGTTTTACAGTGCGCCTTTAACATCATACAGCATGGTTTCAATAGATGACAGGTTACCCTTAGAAAAATGTTTTTTTTTTCTTGAAATCTGATCTTATTCCTTGATTCTTGTTCCTAATGGCCTGATTAAGGAAGACTGTGCAAGCTTCTTGCTGAATGTATCTAAATGACCATTAGTGAGACTTTTAAAAGGAAGAAATGTTTTAAGATGATATTTTGATTGTTTTTGTCATTCATACCTCCAGCAAAATGAGTATCTCACACTGTTTAAGCAATGCTACAGCTCAGAGCATTACCAATCAATGCACATACACACTTTATGAATTACATATCATTGTTAATTAGCTTATAATTAAAAAATGGAAGAATTTTAATAGTGAATGTGTGCACATGATGCAGGGCCCTGGTTTTGTAAAGCAGATTAAAACAATGCAAAAAAAATTATTTGAAAGCTGAACTTTAGCTGTAAAAATGTATATATAGTTACGCTGGTCCAGCTTGGCACAATGTAAGTACCTATAAATTATACCTGGTAGGGCCACAGGCACTGTGTAATACATTGTTGTAACCACAGCTACTACAGTTACATGTCAGTTTGCTGTAGCTTTATTGTTTGTTTGTTTTTTCTTTGGGGGAATTTAGTCTTTTTCACTGTCTTTATAAAATAAGTTTTTGTTTGTATAGAGTTTCAATGAATTTGGCAGAGAGACTGAAAGGTCTGTCAGTTAGTGGCAGCATTGGGGTCTTGTCAGAATGGTTGGGTGAATTGGCACTGACAGCTTTAAGAAGTATCCATAAGTAGCATTTTTGTTTTCTTCCTACAGGTCCTTTCCTATCATGCAACATGCTCAAAAGCTGAAGTTGATAAATTTAAGGTAAGGTATTGTAAACTATTGTAATGTTTGTTAATTTTTTTGTTAATTTTTTTTGTGCTCTAAAAACAAACAGCAGAGCAAAGCAAATGTTTAAACAACTCAAAGGCAAATTAAGAAAACTCACATTAGGTCAGAAAATCAGAAGCCGCTGAACTTGACTTGCTTCTGACTCTGATCTTCATGTACCTGAGATCTAATACCCCTACGCACGCTCGCTAATGCTTTCCTAATTGTTTATATTTAAATATGCTTTAATAAGGTGCTTCATGGTATTTATATATTATGTTTTTTGTGAAGTACAAAGCTGAGAAAGATCTTGTGGGTGACAGGCAATTAATTCTTCTACACAAAACATTGGGTTTTAGAGTGTTGCAAACCTCTTTTCTTAAATTGACAATGCAGATTGTACTAATTGTGCTGTCCATTTCTCAGTTGTGTGTAATTCCAGCATGTACCTGCCATCACTTTATCTTTCAAGGTCCATGCCCAGGAGTCAAGATGGTGGCTTCATAATACTTAAAGGAGAACTATGAGGTGAGTGATTTCCACTCATCCTCATAGTTAGAGCGGACCTGTGACAAAGAAGTTGTCACAGGTCGGCTCTATTGATCGGGAAGTGAGGAGAAACATGCAGCCGATCTGCTCACTTACTGATCCGCTCAATGCAGTGAGCGGTGACTGATATCCCACAGGGATTCCTCCTCCCCTCTCCGATCCTCCAGCGCTGAATGGAGGAACAAACAGGGGGAGGGGGGGCAGGCACAGCTGGCTCTGCTGCTAGATAGGCAGAGCCAGCTGTCACTCAGGCAACTGGGTGGATCACGATAGTATTATCGGTGATCCATCCCAGCTGCGGCGCTCTCAGTATGACGCGGGCAATAGCTCGCTATATATTGAGCTTTGGGCCACGGGAGGAGGTTAGTATATGTCCTCGCTTGACCCTAAAAAGAACTATGGGGAAAAACACTTACCCCATAGTTCCCTTTTAAGTTAAGAGCTCTCGGTGCTAACATTGAGTGACATTTAACACTTCCCACACATCCATAAATTTCACTAAGTGCCAAAGTTTTCCCTACACATCCCCTTATGCGTATCCCTCCCTTACCTTAACACTTAACCTAACCCAGAGTGCATGTAGATGTAACTCTTAAATAAACCTTCAATATATTTAAACTATATCTGTGAACATAACTATTTATTTAAACTATATCTAAAGCCAAAACTTTAACTTTTAGTTTTGGATTGAGTAATGAATGATTAAAACCACTGTTTTTGGTGGTTTTTGTTTGGCTGTCTGGGTCCAATTGGTATGATTTCTGTCCACTTCTCTCCAAAGTGTAGGGAAATCACCTCTTATAACTAAAACAAGTGTCCCCATTGGAACAGCCCCCCTCTATTCCTGTGCCTATTCTTGTGCCTCTATCCCCAAACAGAAAATAATTGTTGGTTGTAGATACACTTGTACAGGTACCTTAGCCTAACCCCCAAAGTGAACTCTGAATCATTTATTCGAATAACATCTACATTTAGAGTGTATCTGTAGGCAAAACCTAGAGCGCAAAGCATAAATCCTCTTTTTCAGTTGGATAGAGTGGGGAATGGTTAGGCCCTTTGTCAAGATTTTATTGCCGTTTCCATTGGGGAGATTCACCCGCCTCTATTTGTGCTGGTCACCAAGAAAGAAAGTGAGGGGAAATAAAATTGTTTAAAGATGTCCCCCAAACTAGAGGTAAGGAGAAATCTTCCACTGGGGGTACCTGTTCCGGGGACAACTATCTAAGCGGGGAATTTCCCTCTTAGATATTTGCAGCTTGCAAAATGGGAATTAGTCACTAAAGTGTGTAATAAAGGCAGAAAGGAATAGAGGGAATCCTCTTTTGCCCATAACCCCCATGGTAGTTTTGTGGGAAGTTTTGTGGGTAGTTAAATTGGATCTTTACCCCCTTTCACTAAAAATCACATCAGCATGCAGCTTTGCATTCTGATTTGAAATCATCTTTCATTCATTGGTAAACAAACATTTTTCTTTTACCTGCAATTTCAGTTTTTCTACTTCCTGGTCCTCTTTGGCACAAATTATGTAATTGTGCCCAAGCATTGCATCTTGTGAAGGTTACTCAGCAGAGTATTGCTGCAAAATCTCATCTGTAATCTCATGAAATCTCAGGGAAAGGCATTTTCCTCCCCTGAGATGATGTGCATGGTCACATGTCCTTGTCACATGTGCCAGAGTTCCAGAAAGTAAAGGGAGATATGGCAATCTGCCCTTAGTAAAAATGGCCACTGTGAGAAGAATGGGGTAAAAAAGAAAAATAAGGTATGCAAAGAATAAAAAGCCTGCAAATATCTAGACGTATCAGTGTAGATTGTCATTACTAACCATTTTTAAAAGGTATATTTGTTGTAATTTCAAGATAAGGGCAAAGCTCCTCTTTAACTTATGGAACAATAACACACTTCTCGCTCTAAAGTTTATATTGAAGTTGTACTTTCTCATTTCTTTGACCCTTTTTGTCATTTTTTTCGCTCTACCTTTGCTTTGTATTCATACCCTTCCTGTCCTTCAAATGACATTTTACTATACAGCATGAAGAAAAAAGTATCCTGTCATTGATTGCTCTCAACACACAATGCCTACTGAGCCATAACCACCGAGCCTTGGTCAAGATAAAAACAGAAAATTAGATTTCTAATTAGTTACGAGGCTTGGGCCACCGAGATTGTGTGACAGGGGAAGCTTTAGCGTGGCCCTGCCTATTTATATAGTTTGAGCTGATTAGTTTCAGTTTCACCGACTTTGCCTTTTAGTCTCAAAGTGAATTTTATTTTAATTCATTATTTTGGTGCCAGCAAGCAGTGAGTTGATGAATGTAGTTTGACGCTTGACTCTACAGAATCAGAAAAATCTGTAATTGGCTGGTGGAATAATTTGTAAGCAGAGCACTCTATTGTTCCTGCAGTTTCCGAATGTTGAATCCGCGGAGGCATAATGTAGATGCGTTTTGGGATATCTGTCCCATGTTTCTGCTGCTCAGCAATATTCCTCCAAAGGTTTTTTTTAGTTTTGAAAGGGAACAAAAATAGGTGGTCTAAAATGTGAAGCATATGGCTACAGCTCCATCGTTCCAGCACTGGGAAACGGGCAATCTCTTTATTTACTCTTTTCTTTCTCCCTACAACTCATTCCTATTTGCAACTTTCTCATCCCCCACACACAGTGGTGTATTCAGGGTATGGCACATGCCTTGGTCACCACATGAAGGGGGGGGGGGTGGGGGTGCCGCTCCATGGGTCAGCAAAAGTTCACAGACCCAAGGAGACAGCTGACTTTTTTTCTCTGGCCATTCTTTTCCCATACACTTTTCCCCTCCCGGCCATTTGCAACCAGGGATGCTCTGGCCGGCATCCCGCCCAGCTCCTGGCAACTAGTGACATCACTGGTTGCCAGAAGCTGGGGGGACACCAGCCTGAGTGTCCCAAGATGCTGAGAGCCAGGCGGGGAGATAAGTAAGGGCCATACACACCTGCCCGCCCGGGTGTGTGTGCGGGTAGTATGCAGGCCAGAGCATCCCATGTTGCTAAGAGCTGGGCAGGGAGTGTAAACCCTTATAATTTAGTTTATCTGTACGGGCTATTGTGAATAGCCGTACAGCACCCCCTCGGTTCTCCTGAACCGAAGGGGTCCTGGTGCCGAAGCTAGCCGAAGGATCGGCCGAAGCTACGGCCAGATCCTTCGGCAGCTTTGTGAATAGACCCCTGTGTATCACAAACGTTGATTTTTTAAAAAAAATAAAATTCTTGTGTATAGCTTTTTTTTAAATTCTTTGCTGCATTATAGTGCTACTGATCTAATGCAAATGCATCCTATCAACATGCATTCACTCCAGCAGCTGCATGGCATTTTCCAGGGTGGGTTAACTGATGGTGATGAAAATGGACAATGCTGGTGTTAAAACAGCAACTTGTAATCTTCATCAAGAGCTGGAATAGCAGGGTGACAATGCAGGAGCTCAGTTGAAAGATAGGGACAAAGCATTACCACAAGTCTATAGGAAATTATTAAGCAAGGTAACATCACCAGGTATTATTTTAATAAAAGCTGCATATTTAAAATTACTTTTACATTACATTAACAAGTTGAAGCTTATATAATTTTAGTGATTGGGTTTTCGTATACTGTTACAGACTACAGCCTTTCCAGGCTCTTTGGCTATGAAAGTGAAATACTTGCAAAGTTTTTAGCATAGGGAGAAGGACAAAATGGAAACTGCAGTGTTGATGAACAGGGATTTGCAGTGCAGTTCTTTGTTCCCTGACCATAGTTAGGACAACTGTGAGCATTACCCCATAAACACTAACATTTTAATTGAGATAGGGCAAAATGATTTTACTTAAAACAAGTGTTTATTACTGGGGTGAATGCTGTACCCAAGTATGGTTTACATTTTAGTGGTGGAGAATTGAGACTTCAGTTTGTGATGTGCTAAGTTGAATGAGGTACAGCAGGTACCAGCAGAAGTATATGTTTTTTAGGCACTGGGGTGGAATTACCCTGAGTAGGGAAGCAATAGAAAATGGGGCTAATGTGTGCATACATTCTCAATAGGGATGTCCCGATGACACTTTTTCAGGCCCAAGTACAAGTACATCCCCTCATGTACTTGCCGATACCAATTACCGATACTTTTTCTTAAAGGGACAGGTGACTTTAAATGATCCATAGTACAACTACATGTTATGTACTATGGATCATGGTTTAACCTATTCATGTTAGCACTGGAGAGTTGTAACTCTATTGCTGGAGTGTAGTGGAGGTGTGTGCTGTATATATGCACTACATATACATTACACACGTCCAGTACACTATAGCAATAGATTTACAGCCAGCCCCATCCCAGCTTCCCTTACTCACAGTTTCACTCCGATCCCAGTAGCCTCACGCGATGCCTCTTGTAGTCGGCGCTGGGCAGGATCGCTGCATCACATCTCGGTGCTCAGCT